TTTGTCTTGATTGTTGTCAGTGCTAAATTTAACAGCTTGGCGGCCTGCGGCTGATTTTGTTCGCCTGGTGGAAACGGTGTTTTCTACAAACGATTTTTGGGAGCAACTCGATTAGGGTGGTCAGAAATTTTTTATTAAAGAATTAAAAGAATTTTTTTCAAAAAATTTAACAAAACAAGCTAGAAATTTAAAAATTTGAAAAAGAAACATTACAAAATTGAAGCGAAATCGCAAATGTATATGGAACATTGATTGAATTTTTAGCGATTTTAATGGTTGTATGAAAAGGAATAAAATGAGATTGAGACAGGTGATTTTGCAAGTGGAACAAAAACAAACGGAATCAGCACGGAAAAAATGGAAATGAAACGAAACCAATGGACAACGGAACAAATTAGGAAGTACACAAACTTATACAAAATTGAAACGAAACCGTAAATGTGTGTGGAATTAGAAATTTAACATTATTGACACGCATCATTTTGAAGTTGGAACAGAAACAAGTGGAAGCAGAACGGAACAAAATGGAAATGAAACGAATATTGGGTAATGAATAGCACACTGATTGAGTTTTTTTTTATCAACTTTTCAAAGAAATTAACAAAATAAGCAAGAAATTTAAAAATTTTAAAAGAAACAATACAAAAGTGAAACGAATTCGCAATTGTGTATGGAATTTGAATTTAATCGCAAATTGGATAAAATGCGACAGAACAGAACAGAAACAAGTGGAAGCGGAACGTCACAAAATGGAAATGAAAAAAGGTTTTAGTAATGAAAGAAACAAAAACGGAACAAAATGGGAATTAAACGAAACTATTTGGAAACGAAACGGGGCAAAGCTAACACTTTAGAAACGGAACGAAACGAAAACTTTTGCAATCGGAACAAAATGATATTGAGACGAATTATTTTGGAATTGGAACAAAAACAAGAAGAAACGAAACGGAACCAAATGGAAACGAAACTAGGATTGAGTAATGAAAACTAAACGGATTTAATTTTCAATGCGTTTTTTTCAAAGAAATTAACCATAATAAGCTATAAATTTGGAAAGCAAACTTAAAAAATTGAATGGAAATCGCAATGTGTATGGAATTGGAATTTTATCGAAAAATTAGATTAGAGCAAATTGGATGAAATGGAACAAATAATATTAACACGAATCATTTTGGAATTGCAACATAAGCGAATGGAATCGGAACAGAACATACTACGAAACCATTTGGCTACGAAACGGGGCAAAATGGAAACAAAACTTTTGGAATCGGAACTGAACAAAATTAAATATTTTGGAACTTGTTGGGAACACAATGGGAATGAAACCAAATCTTTTGGAATACGGAATGAAATGACGGAAGAGACGAAACAATTTGGAATCAGAACGGAACAAAATGTAAATGAAACGAAATATTTAGAATTTGGAACAAGCGATTTAAAAACTTTTCTTTTTTGTTTTGTTTACATGTTTATAATGTACATAGTTTTTATTAAATTAAATAAATTTTTAGAAATACAGTAGACTTAAATAAAAGTATTTTTATACAAGATAAGTTCATAATAGGATCTCTTTTATCTTTAACGCATTAAATCTAATAGTTTCGGAAATAAATTTTTGCATAAATCAGAATAATGTAGTTTGCTACTTTAATATTATTACAGGCGTGAATTTTATAATTTGTGTTGTACACATGTGTGTATGTACATATATATGTATGTATTTCCATACACATATATGTATATGTTTTATATAAGGCATTATGCTTTTTAAACAAGCAGTTTTTTTTTCAATTTTTGCAAGGCTTTTATGCTTCATGAACAGGCAGCTTAGGTAAATTTTTTCACGAGGATTATTTGATAATAAAATTATTTTCCATTTAACCGATACTCTGCCACAAGATTAGTTATGTAGCCAGAAATATACATACTTACATATGCGTGTATTTCGAATCTTAGCAATTAAGTAAATTATAATACTTAAGCTACAAAGAAAATGGCGGAGAAAAAAGTGCTTACATACAAAGCTATATAGCATCTAATAAAAATTGGAAACAAAAAATTTTGAAGAAAAAATTGGTATTTTGTTTAAAACATAAGATAACTTTGGTATTACGCTAAAATTACATTAAATACAATTTAAATTACGCACAAACTATTTTTTATTTGAATAAAAAAAAACTGCATTGTGCTCTAAATTTAAAAGGAATCAGAATGTAACATTATATAAATAAAAGTAAAACAACTGGTTACAACTAGGTATGTAAGTGTAAAGTTGAATACATTCAAACTACTTTTTAATTTAAAATCAGCTTTTTAATTAAGAAAAAAAAAACAAAATAATATTAAATAAATAAACTGTTCCTCCTTCGCTAAGTTATCGATTTATTTTACGCCCAATGTATGTTTGTATTAATTTTTTCTTTTATCATGTACATTTTTTCCGTCCTAAAATATTAAAAATTCGCTTAAAGTTACTTTTTGTTATTAAAATTTTTAAATTTCTTTTCTATGCGAATAGCTCCTTAGAAAACTTAAGCGACAATATACGCTTTTCAAAAACAACTTCGAAAAATACATACATATAAAATATTTGCGTACACATGAATGTATGTACGTACATCCATATTTATCTAAATATAAATATTAACCGCCGCTTTCATCAGCAATTTAAATGGAAAATGATTTCTTATTTTCTGTCAATTTCCATGTACAATTCAAAAAAAAAAAAGTAAAATAATTTTTTACTTAAATTGCTTTAGTGAAATTGGCTGTTAGATTTTTTTTTTTGCATAGGTCGTAACTTTTTAATTAATTAATTTGTTATTACACTAAATAGAAAAAATTCACAATATCTTTTTACACTCTTTATACAATGGTACGTATAAATATGCATATGTTTGTATGTTTTTATTACAAAGTGTGTTTACGTTTAAAGAATACGCAAAATTAAAATTTTATGCTTTTTTTTATTTAAATAATTTATGTATGTATAAATACATATGTATGCATGTATGTATAATTAACCTATCACATTATATTGTTGCTTTTCTAACTCGCATTTCGTTAGTTTTGTCTTCAACAGTTGGCTGGCTATTTTTTTTTTTTTGTTTAACGCAGCAGTTAGGCACCTTAGTAAGGTAGGGTTTGAAGGATCTCTGGGGACCCTATCGCAACCATATCGGAGTGCTTTTACCTTGGCATACAAGGGGCTTATGAGGAAAGAATATATAAAGTTTAGCGCAAAAATTTGAGAGAAACCTAAACTTTGAGATAACATTTGAGTGGTAAGAGTCTAAAAAAAAAATTGTTCGTTTAAAACCAAATCTTTCATTGAATTGCGGTTACTGTGTACGCATTACTGTCCTTAATTTTTTCTATATACATATATTTACGCATGATTTCTCTCATAAACAAAATTTGCGCATAAGTCCCATTGTGCACCAATTTCACTCTTGTGCTTTTTTATAAAAGTTCTTTCTCAAAGAGAAACAAAGTTGAAAATTATTAATGAAAATTCATTTTTTTTTAGTTTTGGTGTATGTACATTAGAGTGATAAAAAAAAATTCTTGATGGTTTGGGGCACCTTGCAAAATTTTTCCTCTTGCCGAAAGAGGTGCTGGCACAAAACTCAAAAATCACATATATTTTTGTCAATTTCAAAGCGGTCCAGTAGCGCAATTCAAGATCATTGAGCATCCTGTATTGGTAACAGTAGAAAATTGAAAGTCGTTATAGATATTATAAATATCAAAATGGAAAAATTAAAGGAGTGCTCCGTTTTCCACGATGAAATTTTTTCCCATACAAAAATTGCACCACTCTAATGTACACAGGAACCCTCCTAATACACTGTGCGACAATAAATTTTACAGTATACATGCGAAATTAAGGGCCAAATATAATAAAACTGCGTTTTTAGTTTTTCTCTCTGACGTCAGAATTTGTTAAAAGGACTTTGATTTCAAAAATATGATTTATTAAAAAAAGACTGTTTAAAACATTCAGAGCATTGTACAATAACAATATGGGTGACGAATAAAACAGAAAATTCTACGGAATCGAAAACAATAAAATTTTCTGGTGCGCATTTTTAAGTGTTATCCTTGAATATCCTTGAAAATTTCAAATATTTATTTTTGAAAAAAAAATTCGATTAAATTGAGCTCATAATTTTATTTGTTTTGGATAAGAAAAAATATTTAAAAGACATTTTCAACACCTATGCGTTCTTGTGAACCAAAAATGTAATTTTTAAAATTCTATAGAATTTTCTCCCTTATTTGGTACTTTCATACATATGCATATTGCTACTCTACAATGCACTGATTCTTTTTTTATAATTATTTGAATAAATCATATCTTTTAAAAATCAAAGTCGTTAAAAGAAATATAAAAAAATCTGAGGGAGAAAACTAAAAACGCAGTTTTACTATATTTTGCCCCTAATTTCGCGAATACTTTTACATACTACATATTGATCGCTTCATGTGTTTTGAAATTTTTTCGTTTTTGTCGCACTGTGATATGTACGTAAATAAAAGCGGCATGCTTCTCTTAAAACAAATTAGTGCTTTGGTCACTTTGTTGGTGTTCTTTTGGTCTGGTCTGTATAAATACAGTGCTTACTTTCTTTTACAAAAAATATGTCTCATTCTTTAAGGCACATTTTCTTGGCACATTTGCATTGCTTCTTTGATAAGTATTTTCAATAAAATTTTTTAATGGGAAAATCTCTCATAACGGTAAAAACTTTCTACGTAATCTTATTTTAAAACGTCTCATTAAAAATCTGTTTAAAACTGTTATGATAGTTAAAGATACAAAGCTCAGAAAGCTCAGCCCTCATCCAAAAACGTATAAACATCTCTGTAAACTTGTCCTTTAATATTGGCTAACCACCGGAGTGTAAATTAAAACTTATCGACTGCTTGACACATTTTACAAATTCTAAGCTATACAGTTTCTCTTACAGTTGTCTTCCGATATAGTACCCATGTAATTAGTTTCACATTTTACACTTTGTTTTTTATTTTTTGAAAAATTTTGTTCTTTTAAATTGATTTTATTATTTCTAGTTCGTTAGCACCGATTAGACGCACACGGCACAGCACTCGTATTTAGCCCCAGTATGACTGCATCAATCCCTAACCTTCCGCCTCACTGCTTAGCGCTGCATCGCACCGCCGCACCGCACCGCACCACTTTACGCCACACCGCTTAGTGGCCATTCACCAGCGTCGTTGTGGGCGCATGCACGCCGGGTACACTAAGACTGTTGTCGATGCCGTTCGTCGCCAACACAGGCGTCGTTATGATATCGCCCGCATTCGATTTGCTGCGTGTCACCAACATGGGCGTTTTGGGACGAGGTGTTTCGGTTAGTTTGATTTTAACACGTCCCGTTTCTGGTGAATAGACGGGAGAGTAGCGTCCTGATTTCGGCGACGAAGGCAGATAACTATCGTCATTGTTGTTATTGTGCTCGGCACCCGCTTGTGGGTATTGTGCATACTTGGAGGCACGTGGCGACTTCGGTGTGGGGTAACGTGGTGTGATGGGATGATAATCGTGTGGTGCAGCTGCTTCTGTGGCCGGTGGTGCGCTCTCTTTGGTCACATGATCACCGGGGCCGGTGCCATTATTGCCGTTCAACAATGGCTGTTGTTGGTTGGGTCCGTCTTTGACATCGTTGGCGTCGTAGGGTTTCTTCTGGCCGGTGCCATTAATCGGTTTCGCGTGATCCGATTTGGTTTGGTCACCAATGAGTGGTGAATGTTCGTTGCCGTTGCGCAATGGTTTGCCTAAGTTCTTCTTGTCCATGTCGAGCAATTCGGTTTGGCGTGGGTTTTCCGCATCGTGCGCGGCATTATGGTTGTGTTTGCAGCGCTTGATGCCCACATAGAGTATCAAGCCGACAACAATTAAACCGAGCACACCCAGCAAAAAGTAGGTGGCATTGCTATCGTCCTTTGAATCGTTGGATACATTTGCGGTTAAAATGGGGCTAGCTTCGCCGCTGGTAGGTCCCTCAGTGTTTACACCGAACACACCCTCCGATTCAGCATTTTGTTGCACAGCTGGAACAATGGCGTCTTCGGTTACCGGTTCAAGAGCTTTGTCGTCTGCGTGTGCTTCAGTTTTTTCCTCTTCAAAACCACTAGTGTCGAATATTCCCATACCGGCACCGAAGATATCTGCTCCATTTCTGTGCACCTCCTCTTCCTCCTCCTCCTTGTCTTCCTCCACATCCTCTTCTGGTGCGGGTTGTTCAACGGGTTTGTTGTCGAAAGCGTCATCGGTGTCATCCTCATCGGGTGCCTCGAAATCATCGGTAAAGAGAGGACCGCGTGCTATGTTGGGTATTATCAATGGACCAGCACCGCTACCAGAACCATCTTCCTCTTCTTCCGCCTGCTCAATCGCTAGATGTGGCGCATCAGTTGTAGAATGTTCTTCCGAGTCCTCTATATCAGGCACAACAGTTGTCATAGCTAAATTGACTGGCGCATTTATGTCACTCAAATCGCCGGAGCCTTCAACTGTGTCCAATTGTACCGAGCTCGTCTTGGCTGTGCTCGCCTTATCGATGGGTATAAATGCCTTTCCCAACTCATCTTCATCGTCCAGATCGCCCGAGCCCTCGATCGGCTGGTCGCCCATCATCAGTTCATTGTCTTCCTCGTCACGACCGTTTTTTTCGTGCGCACAAATGTCCGACTGTTTGACCTGCAACCATGGCTTGCCTTTAGCCTCGGTCGGATACGTACATGTGACGGCGTGTTCCATGAACACATGACGCTCCTGAAGCCAGTTGCGCACCTCCAGAGTTTCGCAAGAGCAGTTGATCTGGTTGTGGCTCAACTCGAGTGTCACCAAATTCGAAAGCCGTGTAAATTCCAGTGGCAGGCTGGTGATGTCATTATGTTGCAGATTCAAAACCTGCAAATGTGCTGGCAACTTAGCCAACTTGCTCGATGTAATGCGGTTGTGCTTGAGGTTCAACTTCTTAATGCGTCGTCCAAGGTGACCAATTTCGTGCAGCTCATTGTGTGACAGATCAATTGATGTCACATCGGGCAGTTTCTCCAGCGGATGTGACAACCGTTTCAAATTCAAATATGACAGATCCAGCGAATGTATGGGCAGTGAATCTTCTTTGGCTTCGTAGGAACGCAAACCCTCCAAGCTGGAACATTTGGCGTGCAGGAAAGGCGAGTGTGTATGCTGCGCCAGTACGCATTCACAGTCTGCAGGGCAGTTGTAGTTATTGCTGTCGGCTGTTGTATGATTAACAGTACTGGACGCTTCTGTGTTGGGTGTGGGTGAGCCCTGAACGAGTAGTGCGCAGAGGAGTAGCAACGACGAAGCGCAGAGTATGGGCAGTTGCCTCGTACGTGGATGTGTGAGTACCAGCGGCATTTTCAGTGCGTCTATATATGTGTGTGTGGGAGAGTGCAAGGGAGCGCTTCTGTTTGGATGCTTTAGCTCAAGACTAGATAGGTGCGGCAGTTGATTATAAGGAGGGAGCACACAA